ATAGGTGAGCAGGAAGTAAACAATACAGTTCTGATATTTTGACGTGAATAAAAAACAATGATCTGCAAAAATTATTGTCCTGGCAATAACTGTATAATATAAGCTCATTTGGGAGGTAAACTTCATGCGAGTTCGGCGATTATAGTTAATTTAAGTAAAGTAAGCATAATTGACAGAAATTATCTAAATTCTGCCTTAAGGTTAGACTAGAGATAACTATGATATAATTTCAATTGAATTTTTTGTCCACTATTTTCTGCCGAGAAATAGCCGCCAATTAAAATGCTTGGAGAATAAAGGACGTTCATATAGTGAGATCGAGCAACGATGCTTCTTTACAATCAAGATAGGCGCGACTTGTCTTGCTGGTACGAGACCTTCTCTTACCATATACAGTCTCGGCAGTCACCCTCCGAATTTTCTCCGACATACATCCATGTGACTAATTCATGCATTGCAAGTGATTTAATGCAGCATTTCTGGACAGGATGAAGTCTAATCTTTCTTATGTTTGATGGACAAACGTGACTTAGATCGCAAAACCCAGGGAGTGCTAGTCAGCTGACCAGGTGTCACATACATCAGCTAGGCCACTTTCACTGCGCAGAGCTTCGCTGGAACTCCGCCGCAGCGTCGCGGTAGCAGCTGGAATGTTATATTTTCACAGGACCTTGGTCCCATGCATATTTACTGAGGACTTGACTCTTAATCTCTTGAGTACAAACGTACTACGTCGGATTCCCAACTTATATGCCTTATCGTTGAGAATGAATTTTCAAATACACGTCCATTGCTGCGATTACCGGCGATCAACTTTAGTGCAACTTTTTAATGAATAAGAGCACGCAACTGAAGTACATATTATTAAAATACAATAATCCGTAGGTCGTGAACCATACTCAATTTCACTTACAGTTTGAAAGTTTCATTCCTAATTGAGATCCAAGTTTTATTGAGATCTAAGTTCTATCCCAGATGTAGATATAAAGTACAATTAATTAATGTAAATAACGGCTAGTGTAATCAACCGCACGAAGTGGCGACATCGTAATGGCGTCAGCCCCGCGAGCGGCAGTGATGAAGCAACGACCGCGACCTCTACGAATCTCGCCATCGTTCGTGCGGTCATCGTCGTCATCGTCCTGACCAGACTGCCTCGGTTGCACGCCTAATATGTGTGGTCATTCTCCAGACCAGACTGCTGCAGTCACAAGCATTATCTGTGTAGTCATCCTCCAAACCAGACTGCTGCAGTCACAAGCACGAACCAGACTGCTGCAGTCACAAGCATTATCTGTGTGGTCATCCTCCGAACCAGACTGCTGCAGTCACAAGCATTATCTGTGTGGTCATCCTCCAAACCAGACTGCTGCAGTCACAAGCATAATCTGTATGATCAGCATCAAAATAAGACTGCCACAGTAACAAGCGTAATACGTGTGATCATCCTCCAGATCGCCTATCTTCCTCGAGTGCTAGTTAAGAAATCTAACAGCTTCGTTCGTCAACAATAGCGTGACGAAGCGACATGAGTCCAATCAGACGGTCAGTCGAGTGTCAGCAGACGGTCACAGTTCATTACGGTGTCGACTGACGTCACCAACGTAGTTAGAGCGAAGAGTACTAGCTTCATAGATTCTAGTGGTAGAATCACAAGCTTGATTGAGTTTCAACTGGAAAAACTCCAGTCATAGAAAAAAAAACGAAATTCCTGCTTTCTAAACAAAGTTCAGTTCTTTGTTGGATTTGTTGAATGTTGATCCCAAAATTCTACTTAGCAGTCCTTGGCGAACTACCTTCATCCTTACTGGATTATCTTCCATTTCACGATAGAGTGTATTTATCTTTCCCCTAATCATGCTGAGTTTTTTAATGCATTTTTCCTCCTTCACGTTATAAATATGGAATGGACATCTATATTCCGTGACCAGAAGTCATCGAGCTGACAAAATGAGGCGGGAAAGCAAGCGGCCGACAAGTTTCCTCGGCCGCTCGTCCATGCAGAGTCCGGCTGCCCAGACGCTCCCTAGCGTAAACCGCGGCTATCAACGCTAGTTAGGCCACCAAGATTCCGTCTGTTCTGAACTTCTGACACAAACTGTAATCCTATGCTCAGGAATCTTGATGAGATTTTTATGTTTGCGTTTCTAATCTGGAATTGGGCAGCTGCTTGACTTATATTATACGAGGTGAAATTTCATGAACAATAACTCATTTGTTTCATTAACAGTCATGCAAACTCTGATGTTGTTCAAGATATCAGGACAAAGTACCTAGTCGCACTAGTCGGAGCTTCGATACTCGTCTGCTGAGCGAGCGTCATAATCGCCTTACTTCCCTTCAAGAATCTCGCCCTGCGACCGAGCAAATAAATAGGCATTCGATATCCTCGGTAATTAGTGCAAGTGAGTCATTAATTAGGTACTCTTAGTCTGAATTAATAGGGAAGCAAACAAATTAAGGCGGTACTCACAGTCTCCTTGAAGATGGTAATTGGGTCCTTCTTAGGCAGTCGGCCCGTCATGGCGGCGGGTCCACGCGTCGGGGGCATGGTCTTGGACGTCAGGATGGTCGGGCCCTTCATGTTGACAACCCGCGACGTGCCGTGGGACGTGGTCGTCCCGTGCACGGTCATGTGCGCTGCTTCTCTCTGCTGCACGACACTCATACTCCTCTCACTGCCACGGACAACACCGCACTGCACGCCGCCCAGCTCCAGCAGAACTGGTGCTTCTGCTTCCAGCCAGCTGGTGCTGCTGTTACTTCCAGCCAGCTGGTGCTGCTGCTACTTCCAGCCAGGTGGTGCCGCTGCTACTTCCAGCCAGCTGGTGCTGCTGTTACTTCCAGCCAACTGGTGCTGCTGCTACGTCCAGCAAGCTGGTGCTGCTGCTACTGCCAGCCAGCTGGTGCTGCTGCTACAACCAGCCAGCTGGTGCTGCTGCTATTGTTGCTGCTGTTCTTGCCGCTTCATTTGCTGCTGTTATTGCCGATGCCCGTAGTTCTCCTTCAATTGGCTGCTGCCGCTGTTAGCCCGTGTTGACAGTTTGTGTTAATTGCTAAAACAGTTTACTTACCGCGGCGTTTTCTGTCTCAAACTCCAAAATTTCGCATTCATAAATTCATTTTCTTGAGCATTCGCTCCCCGGGCGACGCCGTTTGCTGTAATCTCTTAACTGCAGACCCGACCCTAACAAAATTTAGAGTCGCCCCAGCTTCTGATTTGGGGTACCAGAAGCTGGGGCGACTCTAAATTTTGATAGGGTGGAAGCAGCGTGCGGGATCACTACTTGTCGGCTGTTGAAGTTTCCTTGTCCCACAATATGGAAGCACTTCTTAAAACTCGAAAAGTACATATCAACTTGTTTGAAATCAGGTTCAAGTCCCAATGGCTAAAATGTAGAATGAAAAAGAGAGCTGATGACGTTATCAAGATTATAATGAGAAAAAAAATTATATTGATGTAGGCCATTGAACTTTTTTCTTATTACAGATGGTCTGTTGTTGATGGTGCGGTCATCTTAAAATAAATACTAAAAACTGCCGGAGTGCGAAATTGATTAAAAAATCCAATCAAATTTATCATGAGCAAACTTTTAATAAGCGAGCCACAAATCAGACGAGATCGGCAACTGCAGGCGAAGAACAAGGCTCAGAGCGCAGCAACAATCAGGCAATTATTTTAATTATAAGGCAGCCAAAGCTGATATATTGTAAAGCATGCGCTCGTCATGAATAAAATGTCAATAATATCATAGGAATGAGCGTGTCACTTCAGAGCTATAGTCGTGTTCAGTTGTGCACTCTGAGGAAGAACTCGACTCGGTCCCGAAATGATATTTGACAAAAATAAATTGTGTAAATTTGAAACTTAATTGTATAAAGAATTGATTTGCAATGCCATTCGAGCAATAACGGATATTGTTTGAGCTTGTCCGAGAAAAAAATGAAAATAATTTATTGTTCTACTGAAGGCAGCTAGCAACTTATCTAGTAACTATAAACTGATACATAAGCTACCACCCTACCAGCAGTAAACTAGTTACTAATCTACGCTCCCTCACCACAGAACATTAATCAGGCTAGTGACGTAACCAACAAAATAGTTGCTGAAATAATTGAATGCCATTCAGTATAGAACAACGAAATACTTTTCGCCTATGATGTCAACATTTATAATTGCAGGGAAATATTCGCAAAAACTCAAATTTAATCGATTGTTTATTAATAGTCGTATTCATAACGCTTATTAGTCCCGTAACTTTAACCCTGTGTGTTATCAAAGTTTATGCTCTATTGTGAACTATTTCCTAACCATCATTTGATATCTGTTAGGTTTCCGGAGCAAATAATCTATTCAGTCTTCGGCGTCACAACCTGAGGTAACCTAATAGCGTTGCTACAATAAAACTAGTGTCTCTCATGCCTCCTTAGGTTCTGGTTCATAAACCAGGTTGAATGCCGTGAGCAACATCCGGACGCGCACAGCAGAAAACTGTGCTCCTGGGGCCATACTTTCAAAACTCGCTAAGTGAACGTAAGTACTTACGCTCTATTTTCTTGTCTATGATTGGTGGATACTTTCAAAGCTCGCTAAGTGAACGTTAGTACTTACGCTCTATTTTCTTGTCTATGATTGGTGGATTTTACTTGAATGGCCGTCAATGATTGACTAATGAACTTACGATCTCTTAACTATTTTAGAAAGTATGGCCCCAGATCAATCATTTATACCGGAGTACGATAGAAGAAGGCGCAAATGGCCAGATTTAAATAACGATTTTAATGCCAATATAGCCCAAGTCCTGTTACCGCCCACACATGAGTCTTGCCAGGCTCGGGGTGACGTGGAGCTCCATGCGTACTCCCACGCGATACGCACGGCGCCTACGCACTGCGCTGCCTACGCACAGCCTGCCCCTCGTACGCCTGAAACTGTACCTCAACGAGACTACCAAAAACTTGTTTCTATAGAGCAAGGGTTAACAAGACACATGTTTCAGTTGCTTCGATCGTTTTGTAATTAAAAAATTCAGTGTAAAGTTACAGAATAAAATCTAACGCATGTTTTATCATCGAACGCTGAAGCATACAAGACACGCGTATCATCATTTTCAAGGTAGTGGACCACTCCAAGGGAAAGTCATACATGCATTTAACGTTGGAAGCAACGGTGTGAACACAAGCCACCTGGTCAAGAGAACAACTTCAAGGGTTAGAGAACATCCCTTGGTAGAGATAACACTTGATGAATTAGCTTCGATAAATTTCGCTGAACTGTAGTTTAGACAGAGAAATAATATTATCGAAAATGTATCGCTGAAGCTTTCCCGCAGTAATTTTACAACAATATTCATTTGCAACGTTTGCAAAGTCCAATTTTATCAAAAGCATTTCTGACCTGAATTAAAACTCAAGATTAAAATTAATTAGAAAAAATAAAATGTTGATAGAGGAAAGTAACGTCAAAACGTGGTGACTGTGATGGGCACAACTGACAGAAATACCGATTTAGGAATCCGACTGCTTAATCGTGAACAATAGCTTAAGCATATTTATCGAAATATTAAAGCTTAATAATACTTCTATCTTTCGATAAATAATGTTTCCAAACACATGAAAATCGAATAACCTAGCCCATGTTGGTTACACTGTATCATCAAATAACTAACACAAGCATTCTTTCATGATTCGTATGTTCGTATAAAGAAAATAAAACAGGATATTATACATCGCTTCAAAACAACTGATGTACAAATTCTCAATCATCCATCATCCCCAATACATACATTCCTATCCCACGATATAGAGCCACACTCAAGCATCGCACTCCCAGTTGTGTGACAAATACCAATTTGTTAACATTTAAATTAACAAGCAAGTGGCCTCAAACCTGCATTCTACGCGCTAGTCCCAGTAAAGACTAGCGCAGAACGAGAGTGGGTCTGCCGCTAACCTGCTCACCGATGTGTCTACGTAGACCTCATCACGATCAAGAAGCGCGCGAGGTAGACCTCGTCACGATCAAGAAGCGCGAGAGGTAGACCTCATCACGATCAAGAAGCGCGGGAGGTAGACCTCGTCACTATCAAGAAGCGTGCAAGGTAGACCTCGTCACGATCAAGAAGCGCGAGAGGTAGACCTCGTCACGATCAAGAAGTGTGCGAGGTAGACCTCGTCACGATCAAGAAGCGCGGGAGGTAGACCTCGTCACGATCAAGAAGCGTGCAAGGTAGACCTCGTCACGATCAAGAAGCGCGAGAGGTAGACCTCGTCACGATCAAGAAGCGCGCGAGGTAGACCTCGTCACGATCAAGAAGCGTGCAAGGTAGACCTCGTCACGATCAAGAAGCGCGAGAGGTAGACCTCGTCACGATCAAGAAGCGTGCAAGGTAGACCTCGTCACGATCAAGAAGCGTGCAAGGTAGACCTCGTCACGATCAAGAAGCGCGAGAGGTAGACCTCGTCACGATCAAGAAGCGTGCAAGGTAGACCTCGTCACGATCAAGAAGCGTGCAAGGTAGACCTCGTCACGATCAAGAAGCGCGAGAGGTAGACCTCGTCACGATCAAGAAGCGTGCAAGGTAGACCTCGTCACGATCAAGAAGCGTGCGAGGTAGACCTTTAAATTCATTACAAACAATTCGAACAAAACGATCAAAGGGATACATGTCCAGAGAATTTAAAATCCAGGAATTTCAGTCGAGATAAAGAAGCTATTGAGATAACGAACATTTATTGTTTCATTGACCTCAGTCTTGACGTTGAGAGCTTCAGCCAACAATGAACATATGACTTCAAATAACTCAAATCTCAGCACAAATTCAAGAGACGGAATCGAATGACGACGGATGAGCCACTGAAATAGTAGCAATACTCACTGAGGACAATTGAAACACGCAGTACTTAAGTTTGGGTACTTAAAGTGAGCAACACAATACTCAAGTTTAGGTACAAGGAATGTTGATGCCCGAGGTACTTAAATCGTTACATGTAGCCTGCTCAAGAAATGTTATATTCCGGGCATCTGAAGTCTACGACGCCTTGGTCTCAAGTTGTAACTTACAGGTTCCAGATCAAACTTTATCGCTGAATTTGTCAAGCTCAGCCTTTCAGTAAAACCAATTTCAACTTTCAGTACATTTTATTTCAGCGTTAATGTGCGTCAGAGAGCACTCATAATCTCTAGGTTTAATTATTTCAAATGCCAGCCACTACGTTGAACGTTCCTGTTCAGTAACTTTAACTTCCATGTCCGCGATGATGACTCCAGACTTCATTACAACGTAGCTTATTCACGGACGAAGCCCACGCAATGCATATAACTCAGCTAATATAAAACAGAGCCCTCTAGCGGACGATTTCTCAGTTGTCACCTGACTCAATTATTTTAGTGCAATAAATAAGAGCTAGATTAGTTGGTCCAATTAATCTCCTGCACGGTGATGGTTAAAATATTAGTTATTAGTAAAAGCCTCTGCGGGAGAGGGGGAGGTGGGGGAGCCGGGGGTTACTTGAGTGAGGGGTAGGCGTCTGGCCGCCGTTCGTACCCTTTGACCTCCTGCAAGAGCGGCAAATAATCTTCATTAAATAATGTTCAGATTATCGAATGATGACAACGAATGTACAAACGATATACAGGATAATTTTATTAGTATAGGTTGGCGAAATTTGTTCCTTTAAGCAGGTTTAATTCTTGATTATCTCAATATTTTTGTGATTTTGTAATTATTTCTATCATTTTTGATTTCTGAGTAGTATCCTATTTATATGATTTTGTACTTATTTCGACCAAAATTTCATCACTCAATGCGCCTTCTAACTTGATAATGAATGATTGATACATTCGAAACGTTGTTAAATAAATAAAAGTGTCCATCGGTACGCTGATTTTCGATTCACCAATTCAAACGAAAAATATTGTTCGATTTATTGAAAAAAAAAACATATAAGAAAATTGGCCAATAAAACGAATTCTCTGGTCTTTAACGAAAACTGCTTAACAGATAAACTTATTGTGAACAATTACCACTATCAATCAGTATGATTTACTGGCGTAGATAACAAATCCTAATGTTACAGTAGACGTTACATTGCCGAAACAATTATGAATAATCCACCTAGATGACAGTCGATCAAATCATGATAAATAAGTCTGAACAGTTTAAAATATCTAATTTCATCATTAAATTGAAGTTGGAAATGACGAAGAAATTTTTCATGCATTATTTGTTTTCGTTTTTCTTCTCATGGCTATAATAAAAGATTCATACGTCACACACGGACACTTCAGGAGAAGAAAACAATTCCAATAACTTATATTGTTACAGTGGAACGAAAATGAAAAAAAAAGATCAATAACGAACCTTGGGTCGAAAACAAGGGCGAGAATCCGGGCTAAGTTTCGTCCATGCCTTCCGCCTGGACCTGCACAGACGACCAGCAATTGTATGAGCTAATCTTGTTAACAAAACAAAATCTTTTCATAAAATTGCAGGGGACAGGACGTAGTTTAGATCACTAAAACGTGAAAATTCTACAGCTAAGAACAAAAACACATATGAGACTTCAACGCCAAAAATAACCCCAATGAAATACCAAATCAGGACCCCCTGCATATTATTGCACCAGAAACCCAAGTCAAAAAGTCCGAACAAGATCGGTATTCGCTAAACTATTTTATAATGATTCCTACAGATCAAATAGCACTCTTGTCGCTCACACATTTTCACAACCTAAAGATTCCACAACAAGTAGGTACCCAAAGCTCGTTCAGGGACACCGACCAAAAGCCATGCTGCAAGTACCACCCTCGATGGCTACCGAGCGCTGTCACCAGCGACACCGAGAAATTAATTGAGCTTCCCAAGGCTCGAACCCACGGGTAGCTCCTCTCACCTCGATACCGTTTTAATGCAGTACAGTAGCGTCCTCTCACTGTCTAGCACCAAGCCAATCCCCTCACAGCTTTTTATTACCACGATCTCCTGGCAGCTCCTAAATCCCCCTTAACAATCGCTGACCCTTGTGACTGATGGCACACTCGCCTGTAGAAGACGACGAAGGCGATCGTGACGACGACCTCGAGGCAGACGAAGGCGAGGATGGTGAGCGCGAACGTCGACCGCGACGTGCACACCGCGTCTGACGTGACCAGCTTACCTGCGTATATAGGGGCCGGATTATCGTGATGTGTTCAATATTTATCTACTTTACAATCTTTTAAAAGGCTCCATTGAACTATCTGCTGAGAGAATAAGGGATCAAATAGTGCTTATGATTAATTCATTTATTATAGTATAATATATAATATTGATTTCCAGTGTAATGATGGCCAGTAGTTTACCCGTAACTTTACTCGTAAATGATGTAAGCGGCTACATTATAAATCGATGCTGTTATAATAATATATACATCATACATCGATGCTGTTATAATAATATTTACATCATACATCGATGCTGTTATAATAATATCTATTAACAGATCCAGCGTCCTGATGGTGAGGACTCACTGTGCCGAGGCAGGTCGTGTAGGCTGGTGAACGCGTCCTCGCCCACCGTCAACTGCAACCAAAATATTATTCTCAACAACATCGGGTGAAGAGAAGCAATTGATTTAGTTAATAATATTATTTTGGCATCAATATTTGTCAAAGTAAAGGTTTACAATTCGTAGTATGAACACTATGGATGTGCAGCAACTCGATATCCAGGCAAGAAAACGGAATGCAAGCAGTACATTTAGAATCCAACGTGTGAAGACATGGGATATGAATTTTAATTAGGAGTATAGTAAGTAACTATTACGATCTGAGGATAAAAAGGAAACAAACGCAAAATAACCAACAGTTTGATAGAAAAAGAGTAAAGGATAAATGGAATTATATTTATAACAAAGTGGCCAGCAGGATAACGGTACAGGATAGGAGAGGGTGCAAGGCAGGATGGGGCAGGGTGCAGGGCAGGATAGGGGAGGGTGCAGGGCAGGATAGGGCAGGATGCAGGGTAGGATTGGGCAGGGTACAGGGCAGGATAGGGCAGGGCGCAGGGCAGGATAGGGGAGGGTGCAGGACAGGATAGGGCAGGATGCAGGGTAGGATTGGGCAGGGTGCAGGGCAGGATAGGGGAGGGTGCAGGGACAGGATGCAGGGCAGGATAGGGCAGGGTGCAGGACAGGATAGGGCAGGGTGCAGGGTAGGATGGGGTATGATGCCGCGCAATCAAAATTTAATCCCACTCACCGAGAGCGACACGGGAATATCCCGCGGTAGGAGCAGATCCTCAGGGTCCGTGAGAGGTCCTCGGGCGATGTCCTCCAACTGTTCATCATAGGGGACGAGGGGACTGAGTCCCAGCGATGAAAGGGACTTGCCGAGGTGAGGCGGTGCACTTGCATCAAGTCCCACAGTTGCCACTTCACGACTGTCGTGCGCTGTAGACTTGCTGGCTGTCACGGCAGGTGCTGGAGACGTGGACTGGGGTCTCGTGTGGTCGCCCACGCGAGGCGGTCCAACGGGAGCGAAGCTGAAAATTTTAGAGGCTATTCAATTCCGAGAAATTTTGAACTTTCCGACTTAATAAATTGAAATAACTTAAACAAATTATTCAGAATAAGCTTTATCCTGCACGGCAGGAGTCAAAAAGAGTGTCATGCTCATGAACTTTTGCTGGAAACGCAAATTTGCCAGAAATGTCAATGATATGGTAGGGAAAATTGAAATAATTCGCCCGCGTTCCTATAGATTTTTCGAGTAGTCCGGAGTACAACAGGCGAATAATTGATGGCGGATTGTTAATGACTTGGTAAAAACTGAGTTCTCATCACCCAGAATGCTGAAAATATAAAGAAAAGGTCTAGTGGAAAATTCACAGCACGTTTTCTCAGTATACTCAGGCCGAAAACAATATATAAGTTCAACATTTGGAAAACGTTTCAAAAAGAATGGATACGAAATTTTGTACATGACCAATTACTACATTGCTTAATAGTTAAGCTGATAAAAAGGTAGTACTGAAGACAATGAAGAATATTCCAGAATTATTTTTATACGGTCACTACGCTAAAAAATTAATTAAAATTCAAATATTCATATGTATAGAGTAACTATCTAGCCTGGATTTAACTCTATTTCATTACATTAATTTAATTGCTTAAATAGCTATTGCTAATTCCATCTAAGAATTGCGGAACGTGCTTTAATTTCCTTGTCCGCATCAAAACATTAATTTAAATGCTCATATTTCAATACTTGGACATGGAAGGGGATACTGCGATGCCTTGAACGATGGTCAGATAATAGGTGATTGGCGAAGTCATGATAACGTATAGCCTAAAAATTTAAAAGCAAAGAGTAGTCCACAAAAATTCATATCTTTATAGAAAACGTTTCGGAGTCCAGCTCCATCGTCAGTTCGTAGAATAATTCTACGAACTGACGATGGAGCTGGACTCCGAAACGTTTTCTATAAAGATATGAATTTTTGTGGACTATTCTTTGCTTTTAAATTTTTAGTCAACTTGCGATTTAAGCAAATAAGTGACATTAATACTTTAACGTGTAGCCTCTAATGCAAACCACGGGCCGTGATGGGTCGTTTTGTAAAGCGATTTTAGGTGATGATAACATGCCCACAAAAACGTTAAAGTTCTATCTTGGTGATGTTTTAACTTATATAGAAGAAAAGTAGGTAATTGTCATAAAAGGACGACAAACAATTCTTTAGTTGGCAACAACCATCTACAAATGACCAGTCCAAGACTGAAGTAAACAAAATTTTCATTCATCCGGGTGTTTGCGGAAAAAATCATTCAAAAACCTTGCACCGAGCGTCTCTGTGGTAGTGGAAACGTCCATCTCAACGATGTCGTTGGAGATTGTGAAAAGCTCGTCGTGCAGCGGTTGTTCCTCGTGCTGCTGTTGGTGCTGCTGCTGTTGATGCTGCTGCTGATGCTGCTGCTGCTGGTGCTGCTCTGTGTCGGTGCCATTCGTGGCGCTACGCTTGCGTCGTCGTCCATACGATGCGACGCCGCTGCCGCAGTTCACCTGCATTTACAAGTAATTGGTAGTTACTCTTGCTTGTACACTTGTTCCTACCATTGGTCTTATTCTTGTTCTTACTTCTACAAGAGAAAACCTGCTCGACCGGGATTAGTTCTAAAATTTATTTCGTTCCTACACTGGGCAGATCGGTGGCGCTTTCCTACATTATTTCAGTCAAGTTATAAAGTAATTATAATGAAGTGACGAGTCTCACCGGTAGACATTTGTCTTGGCAAAACCTGACGGTGGCGACGAAGTTGACACGCGCTGTTGATGGGAACCTGAAGGCCTTGAAGTTGGCGAAGAGCGTCTTGGTTCTCGCGTCGACGCTGAGCTCGGGGAAGATCTCGCGGTAGCGCGGGCACCTGAACCGTCAATGAGGGTTCTAGAATTTATACATACAAAGAACCAAACCAATTATTGCTGCCAATATTTCATTTATATTGACCAGAGCACACATACAGATGGCTTGTCAAAAGTGAATAATGCATAAAGGTATTTGGCTAAAACAGGCTCGGTTAGAACTGTCTCGGGAAAAGCTCCTTACTGAGTAGTAGTATCACCTTATACTCACAAAGAAAACGTGGAAAACACCAGCTTACAGCAACGTTCCAACAAAATCAACACTCACCCGATGTTATCTATGAGCATGAGTGTCTCTCCGTGATCAGTGCGCGCCTCCAGCATCCTGGCAAAAATAGAAAACGCCGAGTTTTGTTCCATCTCAATCCGCAGCGTAAGCAGCTCGCCCAGGTCGACGTTGTTGGCTTCGTTGCCCGTGGCGCGGTAGATGCGCATGCGCACGTTGGGCGTGGGCGCCGTGTTGCTTACGATGTCCAGCGGACCAGGACGGAAAACACCGCTGCCACACACAACAAACAACGTCTCAGTATGAGACACTATTAGCGTCGGTCTAGTCTACTGGTCCAGCGGACCAGGACGGAACACACCGCTGCCACACACAGCAAACACATGCCATCATAGCATCATGCCATCAGAGCATCATGCCATCAGAGCATCATGCCATCAGAGCATCATGCCACCATAGCATCATGCCATTCTTGACAGTTCCAGACATCCTATGCAGTGGTCAATTTCGCCAATCATGACTATAAACATGTGAACATGTTCTCTCCTATTATATGTTATTTAAGTGCTATTTGTCCCGTTAGTGTAAAATTGTAAATAAATCAAATGCTTAAGGATATGAGTAAACACTTCATCACAGTCACTACGACTGAGATATTATGAGGTAGGTCGTAAGCATCAAGTAATTTGAGTGACCACATCCGAGTTCCCGGTGAGGCTGTCTGGCCAACTATTGTCACGTCTCGGACCAATTTACGGCCGCACCCGCGGCCGGTCTCGCGGCCGCCGTACTAAAAACATAGAAAAAACCTAGCCAATCAACGAAAACAATGCAGGTTAGGTCCAGTTAGGAACAGGTTCCATTAAAAACACAAAAAACCTAGAAAAACTCATAAAAACACTTAGAAAACCTTTTGGCCGCGAGACCGGCCGCGGGTCCGGTCGTAAATTTGTCCGGCCAACCGTTGTCATGATTAGTAACAGACGTGAAAAAAAATTTGCACATGCTCATAATGGCTGACACTGGAAGGCGACAGTTAAGTCAGTCACTAAAAACTAACTCCGTCTCATCTCGAACGTCGGATTACTTCTCAGAGTATGAATAAATCGCAGGACGAGCTTTGTGCGCCGGGCGTCATATAGCAAAACTCTGTCAAATATCGCCCTCAACATCATTTGTTCTAATAACAGTTGGAGCGACACGCCTTAGGTGTGTCCCCAATTCTTAACATTACAGAACATTAACAGTTTGTTATGGTCTCGAACTCGCAACTCACTGCTCCAATTTTACTGCGCTTAACCGCCCGGCCTCCTCGCCGATTTTGATAAGAAACTGGCGCACAGAACTGGGATCGAACCCGCAATTAGCAAGCGGGTCTGGAGAAGTGTCGATTCGGTATACTAACTGTAACCACTGGGCCGTCTTGCAATTTCTTCCTTAAATTTTTTTGCATTAAATATTTAATACCTCTAAATGTTTTGCCAGAGGGCTTTAGATGAAAGTAAAATCTATGTATATGTAAAATGAAAGTGAAATGCAAGCAAAAGATGATATTAGAATCCATGTAGGAGTAAAGTTCTCGAATTATTTTAGTTTTATGATGGAATTTTGGCTAACGGATTATTCAGCTTGAAACGCAGGTAATTTAATTCGAACAGCATGACTTCGCTTAGGATTTCAATAAATTCTGTTGTTCTTTCACTCACCTAATTAGCTACTGGTGGCTTAACTTTTAAAAGTAAATTAAATTTACCACCTAGAAAGAGTAAAAAATTTCCCTCTAAAGTTTTCATCAAAAAACTTTCTATTTATATGAATTGGGAGAGAATATCTTTCTTGGGACAACTGAAATAAACAAACCCGTCGATGAGAATTGCAAACCAGGCCAAACAAGTCAATGAACGGCTACAATATTTCATATTTGACCTGTCGTCCGAGGTGGCCAAGAGGTGCAATGCATTCAATCTTTCGCCTTTTGTGTTATTTCTACCAGAATTTTAACGCAGGCGCGTTCTAAGTCAGATGAGAAAAATACGAAACTACGATATATTCATATAGCAAAGAGTGTAATGCAATTAAGTTCTACAAGTTCTCAGGAACAACAAAAAAACGGCCAGAGAACTGAACAAGTCATGTTAAGTGAAATCGAACATCTACAGCAAGCTAGTGGCTATAATGACGGACTAACATGCATGTTACAGATTCTCTTGTGAGTAAATCGATAAAGTAAAGTTGTCAATATTTGCGGAACAGGCTTAACCGCAGAGAGACACAACTAAAATTGATTGCAATATAATGCAATCAAATGAATCTCTAATACGTTATTAGATATGACGCAGTATAATACATTGTGCAGTTCATACAAAAACCATGCCACAACATCGAGTATGGAGGAAATATGCTGGGATCTTACGGTCTAGGTTGCGACAAAACTCGAGACGTGCTCGGCGATCATGCACGCGACACGCATGCACGCGACACGCATGCACGCGACACGCATGCACGCGACACGCATACACGCGACACGCATACACGCGACACGCATGCACGCGACACGTATGCACGCTGCACGCATGCACGCGACACGCATGCTCTAATTGTCGAAACACTCTCAAGCGTATGTAGTGCACTCTAGCGTTGAGCGCAATTCAACGATACGGTGAGCGATGTTACTATTGCTGTACAGTGGATAGTGTGCCTGATCTGCAAAGTGTGCTTTGCTGTACAATTGTAGATCAACTCTGCAGTTCAGTGTAGTTCTTTTCTATAATATAAGTCTATTGTGCTATACAGTGTACCTCTGTTGTACAGAGTAACTCAGGACACTGTACCTCCGGTCGGGATCGTATGTAAATGGAATGGTCGCCTTGCCGCTGCATCAGTCAACGGATCGCGGGCAGCGGAAGGAAACAGCAAAGAGTGAGTCATGGAAACCAATAGCTTGTTCAAGTATAGATGGTATAGATGTTTCATTACTATTAATTACTACAACACACGATACTGAATGCAACATATTATATGAACAATCGAATTAAATTAATGGATCCAACACAGGAAAAACATCGAGATTCTCACTTGATGTCGATGCCTCCGCCAGTGCGGCCGGCGACGGCCTGGGGCGCGTAGCTGACGGTCTGATCGCCTGCCTCAAATGAACACTCAACGCGCACCGTGCGGTCCGAGTCCTGCATGATGAGCGGGTGCTGCTGCACCACCACCGTGTTCACGTACACGCCGTTCGCCTGCAACATCACAGTGTTCACGTACACGCCGTTCGCCTGCAGCTCCAGGCTTGTCGTGCTCAAATAAGAAGAGTGGCAGCAGTACATTCCCGTGCTCCACTGAAGTGCACCACAAGGAGGCACATTGTGCACCCTTGCTCCACCACACCCTCCTGCTCCTCCACATCCACCTGCTCCATAGCATCCACCTGCTCCACCACATCCACCTGCTCCACCACATCCTCCTGCTCCATAGCACCCACCTGCTCCACGGTGCCGCAGACGGAGCCGATGGGCAGGCGGAGCGTGACGGTCGTCTGGCCGTTGCCCATCTCAAAGCAGGCGGGCGCGTTGCCCGACGCGTAAATTCGGCCGTCGAACGGCACGCCGAACGTGAAGGTGACAAGCATGTCACTCGGCGTGCAGTCCACGCGAACTGTAATTGAAGACGAGCCTTTTAACTCGACGGTTTGACATGCTTCATATTGCTTAAATATGTACTTAACTAATCGTTACGAACAATAGAATGGTCAGGGACTGTCATACGTGCTATATTTCGAGAAAGAATTGGCTTAAGGTCACTGCAAAAGTCTTGTGTGATGTTTGTTACCACTTGATGAAGCAGAGTTCTAAAATGATACAGGTTATAGCCTATAAGTCACAGAGAACCATCAGCATTATCTTCGTTAATTAATAGTAAGTTAGTTCTCATCTACCACAACAGTTGCAGAAGTGCAAGCATCATCTTTGTTATGTAATGGTACGTCGGTTCTCATCTACCACAACAGTTGCAGAAGTGGAGGCATCATCTTTATTATGTAATGGTACGTCGGTTCTCATCTACCACAACAGTTGCAGAAGTGCAGGCATCATCTTTGTTATGTAATGGTACGTCTGTTCTCATCTACCACAACAGTTGCAGAAGTGCAGGCATCATCTTTGTTATGTAATGGTACGTCGGCTCTCATCTACCACAACAGTTGC